TTACAGATGACTTTATATAGTGGGAATAATACATTGTATCAAATAAACACTAATTTGGCTAATTAACTAACTGAATGTGTTGCATGCAGCTTTATCAATTGCTTCGTGTAACATGTAACCTCACAACATGCAAACAGTTGCATGAAAGTGTCACCATATAAAACCAGCTTAAGGTTTCATTATATATTGAATGGTTTCTGAAAGAATCATAATCAAATGAGGTCAGAGATTTAGACCCCTATTAGATGCACAGTGACCCGTTTGTGTGGGTCAGTGTGTTGACTGTTGCATAGGAACGTATGTTTTATGTCGTGTCACTGCTTGACCATGTACGCACTCACACATGGTCCGTTCCCTGATGAACATGCTTACTCACGATCTCCAGCTTGTGTGTGTAGACCCAGCATCAGCTCCGCGCTGCCGGGTGTGTATATTTACACAGGCAGCGGACACTCATCCATCCTCTGACACAAGGGACAGAACACTAATGATTCTGCTTCTGCTTTGTTCTCCATCTCAGGACACACAGCAGGGGAACACGCATGCACACACACACACACACACACACCCGTCTTTGATCTTTGTTCTTGGGCTGCGAGTGCAGTCTCTCCTGAGTGTTCTCCTTGTCTCTGGCTGATGGAATTACACTTTTCATTTCATCTCTAAAGCCGCTCTTTCATGTCCTGCTTTTGTGTCAACAATGGCAGAGTCAAACGCAGTCGGTTATATTTTTCCACAGTCCTCGCCGAGGTATAAGCAAGCCAATGAGGGTCATTCGCAGCAAAATAGCAGTTGAAATGAAAATATATGGTACATGACAGAAAAAAGCATCATAATCATTTTAAATTCATCTTCTTCCACTTTCCTGTTAAGCTTCCTTACAGTTCAGCGAAGGGAAACTATTTAGAAGCTGTTGTTTTTGTTATTCAATATTTGAAGGGTATATATCCACTTATATGATGCTGTTTGTCTTTGTACTTATGATTATGTGCAAAAAAGTACGCATTCATAAGCATAAACAAAGATATTGTTTTAAAAAAAGACTGATGGGGAGAAGAAAAGTGTTCAGACACCAACATTAGTAACATTAGTACTCTGCTGCTGTTTGCAATTAAACCTTTAAGTAATTACCTTTCTGCAGTATTGTGGTTCGGTTTTGGCCCATTCCTTTTGGCAAACCATCTTCATTTCCCCAAACTTAAGAGGGTCTGATAGACCTTCATACATTTTCAGTTGTACTGAAGTCAGGAGATTGGCTGAGTCACAGAAGCACCTTCACCTTTTTTTACAGAAACCAGTGTTGAAATGTTTTGGCTGTAAGTTTGTGGTCATTGTCTTGTTGACACGTCTTCTCTGCTTTCTTGGCCAATGAGATTAAATTCTCCTCTGTGCCCTGGTATATCGTTCCATTCACATTTACTTGGTGTAATACTGCAGAGCAAAACAGCCCCAAATCATGAAGAACACCACCTTCGTACTTCACTGTGCATATAGGGTGTTCTTGGGATCATACGCACAACCGTTCTTTCTCCAAACATGACAAGCTGAATTATTGCCAACTAGTCTTATTTTTGTTTCATTACTGCCAAAAAGTTCTGTTTCATTTCAAGATTCAGAAGACAATTAGGTAAACTGTAGTTAGATTTAAATGGTTTAAATAAATAGTATTGTGTGCATTGATGCTTTTTCAATTTCTGAATTTATTTACTATGTAGACATTCCATTAGTATATCAAAATTAACCTGTGATTATTTATTCATTATGTTTTTGCTCATGTTTTAGCTTGAATATTGAAATACAGCAGCTTATAGTCTCTTTCCAAAAGCCTGCATAAGAAGAGATTTTACATTTTAACACCATTTCAGTCCATCACTGGGCATATAAAGACGCCAAAATCCCTTTATAAAAACCCCAAATGTGTTACATTTTCCGCTTCCTCTTCCAAAGATGTGCCAGGATGCGAATGAACATAAGCTTAAATCAATTTATATTACAATAATAAACATCCTGTGAGAATTTCCACCAAAGCAGCGCACTTTAGTCAATGAAATTGAATTTTTTAAATGAATGTTCTTTGTCTACAGTGCATCCTCTGACATTTGTTTGGCTTTAATTGGCTACATGAATCTCCCCCAGTCTGAGCTAATTGCTCACAATGAGCACCTGCTAGGAGAGAGAGCTGGGCCAGAAGTGCTGTTATAGCATAGAAAAAATGATTTCTTATGAAAAATCAATCGTCCTGCAGAACGACGTGCTCGGTCGTCCGTATCGCAGGTGTTCTTCAGCCTGTGAATGACTGTGGCTGTCTTAGAGACAGAGGGAGAGAATCGTCACATCCGTCCCAATGCTACTATAACAAGCCTTTCTCTGCCTGCCAGCCTGCACATTCTCCAAACTCTCTCTCTCGTTTGCTTTCATTCTCTCTCTTGTTCTCTACCTCGTTCTCACTTGCTCTCTCTCTCTCGTTCTCTCATTCCCTCTCCTCATTCTCATTCTCTTTGTTTTCTTTCCTGCTTGCTCCCATTCTGTTTCTCTGATTCCCTCTCTTTTTCTCTGATATGTTTTCTTGAAACAGCACTCTTGTCAATTATGTAATCCCTCATTAGACTGCTCCTATTTTCTCAAATACAGCATTTAATACAAGTCAAAAGTGGTATGAAAGCCTGACCCCAGAGCCCAGAGTGAATTCATCCAGAGTTTTACAGACATGCTTTGCATTGTGCACACTCTTCCACCGTAATCAGACTTTACCATATCTCCCTGTGTGACTTTGTGCTCTGTCTTTGATGTTATGTAATATTACAACTAAGCCTGTCACTATTACTCTATTAAAAAATACAATTATTAAAAAGTAACTTATATTTTATTATATTTTACCATGTCATGTGATAAAACAATACAACTGTTTTGTGCAATGTTTAAGCCAATATATAACCAGACTTTTATTCATTTGTCCAGCGAATTGAATCATTCCTGGACACCAGGACCTCTGGTCTGGTTTGCTCTTTGTTATTGGAGTGTATGTGGATCAAAAAAGGCTCTCTCTCATTGGAGCAAGACTAAAGTTTGCTAATAAATGTCTAGGCAACGATCAGGACTTCTGGAACATTGTGCTATGGAGAGACAAGTCAAAGATAGACTTGTTTGGACACAGTACCTGAAGCCAAGTTTGGTGAAAACCAAAGACAGCATTTGATTAGAAGAACCTCATACTAACTGTAAAGCATGATGGTGGACATGTTATGCTTTGCGGGCTGCTTTGCTGCCTCAGGACCTTGCCAGCTTGCAATCACATAATTGATTAATTCTCTTTCATACTAGAGCATGCTTGAGGAGAATATAAGGCCATCTGTAAAAAAGTTTAAGCTAAAGAAGTAGATCTTCCAACAAGATAACGATCCCAAACATACAAGTAAATCCACCAAAGAATGGCTCAAAAGGAAGAAGAGGAGTGTTATGGAATGGTCTAATCAAAGCCAATAAAGTATCTATACATACTGATTAACTGAATATCTAATACTGATATGTCCGCATATTAAAAAAAAAAAAACATTTCATGAATGCATGAGTGCTTTTACTTCTTTACATGACTGTATGTGTTTGTTATTTAGGAGCTTTGGAAGATTTTGTAGACACTTTTATTAGTTTCTGTAAAATCTAACACATTGGAATTTTGTCAGCTTGAAAGGTATGCAGTGATCAATCCACTTGTCATGCTAGTCTTTGTGTCTTCGTCTTTTTTTCCGCAGTCTTTCTGGTCCACCTGCACGTTTGTAGCTGCAGTAATTGTCTTGTGACAGGCTATGTTCAGGTTGCAGCTTGCCTGCCAACATGATGGTGGGGTGTTCTTAATGATGTCATCAATGCTAATTCTAGCTACTCAGTGAAACTCTAGTGACCAACTTTGTGTCTTTATGATGAAAATCTAACTGAATAATAGATTTGTGGCAGTTTACTAAAATGGGCTTTTTGTCCCCAATGTCAAGGGGGGACTTCTTACCTCAGAGGGCCAACTTTACACTTTCACTTTAAAAAGGAAAAAAATCTTTGCTTGCTCTCCTAACCAAATGTACTGCTCTCTGCATTAGTCTCTGCAAATGTATTGCTCACAGCAATAGTTACATATTTTCAACTATTCTTATACATATTGTTATAAATGCATAGAACATAATCACAAAAACATAGATCAGCTGACTCCAGATATTTTCCCAGGAGATTAATCCCAGGAATGCAATGATCTAGATGGAATTTTGGGATTAATTAGATATAGATGTTCAGTAAATGTGTTTACATTAGATATGATATTAGATATGATCAGGAGAGGATGTGAGGTTGAGATTTATTTGTGTTGTGATATGATCAGGAGAGAAAATGAGGGTGAGGGAGGGGGAGTCTTACTCTGGGGGCTTCTTTCCCGAACTTGCATTATGTAATGTTTGTTTTTTTTGTTTTTAGTGAAGTCTTCTTAAAAACTTTGATGTTTTTATCTTTTCCCAAGATTTTCAGTTGTTTGAAAGTCTATGCATGAATTGTTATTGGTCAGTTAAATGCATTATGGCGTGGGCTTTTTTTATGCTCTGATCTGATTAATCACCAAAAATAATTGTTAAATTGCTGGATTACTGATATAACTGTTAATGACAGCCATAATTACTACCAGTCCTGCATCAGGTCTTCAGGCTGTTTTCATGTGCATGCTTTTAGACAGCCAGCTTCTCTCACTAGTTCTTATTCCTGTTTTTTATGTCGTGCACTTGCACTCACTTGTTGGGGCTTTCGGTTTAATTTCCTTTTTCCGTTAGGTGCAGTCGTGTGTGTTTTGTCAGCTGTGTTAGTGATGAACTTTGCTCTAGCCTCTGCAACAGCCTCACTGGAGCAAAGTCCTGTCAGTCAGACCAGTGAGAGTGTTTACTCAACTCTTTCTCTCTCTCACTCTCTCTCACTCTCTCTCTCTCTCTCTCTCTTTCTCTCTCTCTCTCTCTCCCTCCCTTTTTTCCCAGGCATATGTTTGAACTGCCAGGGAAACACCAGAGGTCCTAACTGCGAGGAGTGCAAGTATAACTTCTACAGAGAACCGGGCTCTGCCCTAACTGAAGTCTGCCTGCCCTGCCCCTGCTCCAGCGTCACCTCCACGGGTAGCTGCACTCTCGGTGAGTCCTTAAAACCACACACATTAGCCTTGCCGGCTATCCTGTTCTCCCTCATTTGCCTAAACCTAGCCTAGCCTGCTGTAAGCCATCCAGCATCACGTCCCCGGGAAGCTGCACCCTTGGCGAGTCCATAGAACTCCCACGATAGCCTAGCCTAACCAGCTAACCTGTTCTCTGCGAGTCATGTTAACCTAGCCTAGCATAGCCTACTCTGTACTCTGGTGGGCTGCTGTGTGAACCCAGGCTGAGACGGGACGTCCCCCTGTAGTCTGGTCCTGATTACACGTCCTGTCTCGCTAATGGAGGCGGTGGTGGTCGGGTTTCGGAAAGAGGTGCATTTTCAGGAACTCGAAACCAAACGTTCTCTTTCTCTCCCTCCTTACCAGCCTACGCTGGACCAGGGGTTTATTTTTGTCTGCTGAAAGAAAGAAGCCCTTGCAGGGTTTGTTTATGAAATATGAAAGGCAGGAAAGAGAAGGAGGAGGAGTTTGTGCTCTTGTTCAGGCTGGTCAGTCCTTCTCCCATCTTCTTAACCCCTCAAACTCTAAAGCAGGGGTACCCAAATGTTTTCTATTAGAGGGACAAAGTGCAGAGTTTGTGTTTGAGGGCAAGAAAGACAATAAAATAAAGGCAGTCGGTAGGTTTAAAATTGAGTTGTTATAAATGTATTTTTAAAAACCAAAATACGTCAACAAAACTTCAGAAAACACTTCATTATTACACAAATATTAGTCTTATAGTTAAACTACGGTTAGTAACTGAATAATAAGCCTAGGTTCAAGGAGTTCAAGGAGTCTCCTTTCGTGCTTTTTCTCTGCTTCTGTTTCTAGTCTATTTCTCTCTTTCTATTTCTTTGGTATCTTCTCTCTCTCCTGTTTCTTTCCCTTCTCACCCACTTGTTCGGTCTCTTTTTCTCTCTCTGGCTGCTTTTTCTGTCCTTTTTCTATTTTTTTCTTTCTCATCTTATTTTCTTTCATTTTCTGTTTTGTTTGTTTCATTTTCTCTTTTTCTCTCCTTTTTTCTGATGCTCTTTTTTCTTGTTCTCTCTTCTCTCTTTCATTTTCTGTCTTGGTCTGTTTTTCTGTCTCTACTTCTTTCTCTTGCACCTTTTCTCTCTCCCTGTCTGTCTCTTTCTCTTTATTGGAGTGGGTGAGGTTTGCTGACAGAGGCACTGTAGAGCAGCTGTGGTGTGGTACAGACCTGTGGTGTGTGTTTGAGTTGTATTTGTTTATCTCTCTCTCTCTCTCTCTCTCTCTCTCTCTCTCTCTCTCTCTATCAGTGGGTGGGTGGGGTGTGCTGACAGCAGCAGTGTGAAACAGCTGCGTGTTCAGGTACAGACTCAGAGCGGAAACCCTGCAGACCAGCGAAAGGGCAGAGACTCATACAGTGTGTTCATTTGCACTCAGTCATAGTGAAACCGTTCACTGTTCTAACAGAGGGAAGTGTAACGTGCCTGTAGACATGGTCTGAGATGGATTATATGACTAAGTGTGACAATATGACTTCAAATGTGTTTCCTTTTTTTCTTTTTTTCACTTTGTACTTTTTTACACTTAGTTTTATGGGTGTAATGTGTTGGTACCTTAACAACACTGTTCTGATATTTACATGTAAGTATACATACTAGTAATTATAGTCGAGATTGTAGTATTTATATCTCAAGTTCAAGTTTGTGTGTAGTATATACATATTTTTTTTTTTATGTTAAAGGAACTTTTAGCTGCAAGTTAGGCAGCTAGTTGGCTAGATAGCTGAATAGTTTGGAATAGCCAACACAGATAAATACAACAGATAAAGCATATTTTTGTTAGCAAAAATAAACTGTTTGGAGAGTAGAGTGCTACCCTTCATTTATTAATATTTCAACCAAATGACTTTTAAGTGCAAGTTATTCACCTTTCAAAAGATATTTCTGAGGACAATGAATACAAAATCAAATAAAGAAGGAGAAAGTCAAATAAAAAAGTGGAAAAAACAGGAGTTTCTAAAAGTGGAGTTCAAAAAATGCTTAAAGGTTACAGAGAAACTGGGACAACTATGCAAGACCTGGTAGGCCATCCAGGCTGTCACCATCAGATAAACAGCACTTAAAGCTTTCATCTTTGAGAAAGTGGAGAAAATCAAGCTCCACATTTTCTTCAGATCTGGAAAAATAATACACAGGTGTTTCTTTCACTGTGGAAAAAAACAGCTCAGCGCTTTGGGTCTGAAAGTGTAACAGCAAGAAGCTGTTACTGAGAAAAGGAAATAGATAAAAAAAGAACAAAATTTGCAAATCAAAGAAGCTGCTGGTGTTCTTAGAACAATAGACTGGCCACCTCAGCATCCAGACCTAAACACTGACTATGTTTGGAATAACTTGGACAATGAGAAGCAGAAAATGCAACCAACTTCTAAGTCTGAACATGGGAGATATGGAAAGATATCCCTGAAGATTTCTTTGAAAAACTTTGAAAGTCCCCTGAACAGAATGAAATCTGTAAACTTCTGTAATAAAGAATGGAAGCTGTAATATAAACACTCAAAAAAAGTTGTACATTACATATGTTTTCTCTTTTCTTCTTAAAGCTCAACAATGGAAAAACGTGTGCTTAATGGCTGCCTTGACTGGAAATTAAATACATGAAGCATAGTCACTGACTTTCGCACAGGTGTAGTTACATGACTATGTTCGCTAGCTGACTAGCTGTCATTGTTTGGAAAGCCTTATTTTATTTTAAAGAAGATATTAAGCTACTTTAGTAGCTCAGCTAATGTAGTTGGGAAAAGCCAAAATGCCCCCCATCACCCTTTCAACCACTGATTATATCAACAAATAAGATATTAATCAGATTCCTGAATATGGTTTTGCCTGTATTTTCTCTTATATAATGTAGATCATGTAGTAGGGGTTGCATGGTTGTGTGACTGTGAGTATCTGATCCTGAATCAGTGCTCTGTGTAGGCCTCACTGATTTCTGCCCTTTTAATATTAACTTTGTCAGTAGAAATCTGGACACTTGATTTTCTTATGCTGTTAGTACTACTGTGTACTCAGTGTGAGGGAGTTTTTCTCAGTTGAACATAGAGGCTCAGTCCTGTGTCACTGCCTTCACATGTCTTAATTGCTCAGTGTTCCATGACGTTGTTGTGCTGTGCACTTTAGGGAAATAGCATTTACATATGCCCTCGATCACAGGACATGCTGCGGTATGTTTACAGTTTTATGAACAGGTGTCTGCTGAAGCATCTCGTTCTTTACCATGTCCTTGCTTGAGTATGGCCAGTGCTTGAAATGTTGGTCAGTGATAACCTCCAGTGACCTTAAAGAAAATTTGAAGTTTTCTAAGAAGCATTGTGGTGCATCTTTTTGGCCTTTTTTTTTTGGATAAAGTACTGGGCTGGCTGCCTGTATCTTTTAGGATAGATGTTAAAGTTCTTTTACTAGATTTTAAAGCTCTAAATGGCTTTAAAGCAACCTTACAGAATGTCTGTCTAGTTATGTTCCAACATCTTAGATCTGCAGATACTGGCCTTCTGCGAACACCTTCTGTAAAATACAGATAACGCAGAGAGGCCTTTCTGTTGTTAGGCTTTTAAACTGTGGAACTCAATTCCACCTTTTTTCAGGTAGTCAAGCTTGGTGCACACATTTAGGAAATCTTTCATTTAGCCTTTAATTAACATTCTACCCCTCTTTTTGTATTTATCAGTGTTGTTGCTTTATAGGGTTAACACTAATGCTCTTTTATTTCCTTGTATTGCTGTTATCAAACAGTAATTGTAACAGAAGAAAATCTAACTCAACTTTAATTTCTTCTTTTACTGGTAAACTTAAGCTGTATTTAAACTCTCTGTAGAGCTACCGCTGAAAAAAAGAGTGCTCTATAAATAAAGTTGCTATTATTTTTATTGTTATTATTTGGAGACTGTATGTGATTAAGCACAAGGACCTTTAGAGCTTTATTTAAAAAAAAAAAATCACCTACTGTTCTTGTTTTACGCTTTGTGCAAACCACAGAGTGTATCTGTGTCCAAGCATGGTAAACCTTTAGAACTGCCTAAATAATGACTGTCACACCTCTCTGCCAATCACTGCAGTCTCTAAACTCCATTTCCTCTATCAAGCAAAGGAAAAACAAAAAAAAAACCTCCTCGCAACAAACATACAATGAAACAGAGGTGGCAGTGAATTGGTCTGAATTATTAAGACGTGTCAAGAGGTGTTACTGGTGAAAGTGTAATACAAACATACACTATCCTGATCATGGAGGATGGTGTTTTATTTCATTCCTGAAGCTGTAAAAGTTGTCGATCCATGTGTGTAAAACTCAGTGGCAAAACTATGAACAAGCTAAACTTCATCTTCATTACTGTGCTTATTAGCACTCATTTTAACGTGATATTTAGCGATAAATAATGTTGCAGAACAACATTCAGATTAGTTTACTTAGCTCTGGTGTTAGCTTTAGTGTTAGCGCTAGTGTCAGCTCATCTGAAGGGTAGGCCTCATCACTCAACCTCCTCTTTATAAGATGTTGTTAGATCACAGTTTGTTAGGAACCTTGCAGTAAATCTGACTCATGTATTGATGAAAATGTTTATTTGTAAATATGGATGGCCACCGGGGGTGACAGCCTGGCGCTTATGCTGCCGAGTAGAATGAGTTCTCTGCCAAAGTAGTGAGAAGTACAGGCTTTATACAGATACAGATCGAACAAAAGCATCGTGGCTAGGTGTGACCTCAAGCACCAGACCGTCTAGATGACTAAACAGTGAATGTGGATTCAAGGGCCTGTGATGGGAGGACAAATGGCATATTTCCAAATGTTTGATGGGATTGTTAGATTTCCAGTATAGCAGACTTCAAAAATATCATATATCTAAATGACCTATACGAAAATGTCTGCATAAGCCGAAAAAATACAGAATTTAACAGACTTGAAAGTCTGCCAATCCAGTGACTGAAGATCCTTTAAACTGACCCACATTCCTATTTTAAATCCTCAAAAACTATGTCT